CCATCATCCGACTCAAGGTCATGTCTCCGGTTCGACCAAATTTCAAACTCAATTCTCTGTTCTTGACACCATCCTTGAAGGCGCAGACTGCCTGATGATCAGACACATTCTCCACAGTATGGTGCAAAGTGATCCATCTCTGAATATACTCCCTGAGAGTCTCATTGGTCTTCTGCACGCAGACTTGCAGCTCCGTCAATCCAGCCGGTCACTTGCAAGTTCCTTCAAACGTTCTGACGAACACTCGGGACAGATCTTCCCAAGTGTAAATGCTGCTAGGAGGTAACTGATTCAACCACGCTCTGGCAGAACCTTCCAACATGAGGGGCAAATGCTTCATGGCCACCTCGTCATTCCCAGCACCAATCTGAACCGCCACTCGGTAGTCCTCAAGCCAAGTTTCAGGCTTAGACTCACCGGTGAACTTGCTGACTCATGTTGCCAACCTGAAATTGGGAGGAATCACTGCGGCTCTGATAGCTCTGCTGAAACATTCCGGACCAGAAACGTGCACTCGACTGCTCGTGGGCGCATCTCTGTCGAGTCCACCTCGATGGGCTCTGTTCCGGTCGACCAAGCCTTGCACGATAATGGATCGCGCGTCGAAGCCTGGTTCTCTGGGGTCGACTGGAACTCTTCGCCCCGCACTGAGCTGACGTCTGTCATCTTGCTGCCGAGGAGCGTAAGACCCATCCCTCGGAGGGGAAGTGGGCACTCGACGCCTATCATCTCGGTCGTGTCGGTCTCCATATTGGTCTCGCCGATTCTCGCGCCCTTCACGCCACGGAGGCGATCTGGGACTGTGAGCCGACTGAACCGTATTCGCAGCGACGGATCGACTGTGAATTCTGTTGCGCGACTGCGACACGGCTGAATTCTGATCTCCTGCTGCCCGGAGCAGATCCCTGATCTGCATCAAGCCTCTGCCAGCTTCCGACTGAGAGGGCTGGATGGACTCTGCTATACGGGTCGCAGCTGCTAAATTCTGGATTGGGGTTCGATATACCTTAGTCGGCGGGAAGAGTTGATGTCGATTGGCGTCGGGAACTCGTTGCCGCGCGCGCTCGTCGAGTGCTCGCTGAAGATTCTCCAGGCGAGCGCGTTCGGCCAAATTGGCCAAACGTGCCTCCTCCAAGGCGCGAGCCTCGGGGGTTTCTCCTGCGATGGGAGTATGCAGGGCATCCATGTTCCTGCGGCGAAGTTCTTCTCTTTGCAGAGAGTCAAGTGGCTCGGGCTGGTACTCTTCGTGGTCTCGTGCGGGGTCGCCTCCGTCGCCTGCCCCACCATCACGGGCGAAGCCAGGGGGGCTGCGAGGCCCGTCGACCATCAGGATTTCCGCCGCTGGATCACTGCTATCGCATTCGGATGCAGTCTCTACGGAGCCAGTCGACAGATCGAACAGGCCGTAGAGAGATTCCTCGGGCTCGATTGCCGCAACTTGGGTGGTGGCCGTCTGGCGAGCCACCGCGTGTCTCACCCACCGCTGAAGCCTCGACCGACCCGAGCGCTTGCGCTGGCGGGAGACCGGGAGGGTGGTCGATAGGGGAGTCGACCGATATGGGGTCGACGGTTGCCGCAGCAGAACGCCGCGGACACATGCGCGAAAATGCGTCGCACCGCGGACGAGGAGCGCATCGACGTCGAGTGGAGCCTCCTGGAGCCAGGCGGAGTCGTCGGCGACGAGGTGAGAGCACCGAGACGAATCTCTCGACCCTCGACCAAAACTCCAGCAGCTACCATGATGAAAGTACTCGGAAGAATCGCAACTTCTCCACAAAATCGCTAAAACACCGGGCCCACGGTGGGCGCCAACTGTCGTGGATCTAAATCTGACAGTAGAGTGGGGGGTAGGTATGGAGAGGCAAGGTCCTAGCTATGGAGAGGTTGTAAACACAAGAGATGTACGAGTTCAGGCCCTTCTCGGAGGAAGTAAAAGCCCTACGTCTCGGAGCCCGGAGGCGGTCGAGTGGATTATGTGTATATGGATTACAGGGTGCCGAACCCCTCTGCCTGTGGAGGGGGGTGGCTTATATAGAGTGCGCCAGGACCCCAGCCAACCCATGTAATGAAGGGTTTAAGGTACATTAAGTCCGGGGCGTTACTGGTAACGCCCCACATAAAGTGTCTTTACTATCATAAAGTCTACTTAATTACAGACCGTTGCAGTGCAGAGTGCCTCTTGACCTTCTGGTGGTCGAGTGAGTCTTCGTGGTCGAGTCCTTCAAGTCAGTCGAGTGAGTCCCTCGTAGGTCGACTGGAAGGTGATCTCTTCTAAGGGTGTCCTTGGGCAGGGTACTTAGATCAGGTCTGTGACCCTACCCTAGGTACATGACTCCATCAGTGCTTCCTCCTCTAACCGGGGTAGCAGCCTGCGCTTGGGGTAGCTCTTGGAGGGGCGTTCGAGTTTGTACTCTTCGGCCGCAAGGACTTCAGTCCATCTATCGGCTAGCAAGTCTTGGTCAGCTCTAAGCTGTTGCTGTTTTTTCTTGAGGCTGCTCGCCGTGGCCATAAGTCTGTGTTTGAAACACTCTTGTTCCACGCGATCCTCTTGCACGACAAATTCGTCGTCGTCGAGGCTTGCCTCATCTTCGGAGGGAGGCATGTAATTATCGTCCTCCATCTCTTTGTCTGCCGCTCTCTCATGAGGGCTGGCTTCTCCGTCCTCCTGTGCAGAATCCTGCTGGAGGTGGTTGTCTTCGGCACTGTCCGTGGGTGTTATTATCTCCCGTGCCGGAATCACCGTTTTTGCTTTGGCGGGATTTAGAGCGGCGCCGCTAACACCGGCGTTTAGGCTGCTTCTTGGAGGGGTCATCCTCCGTTGTTCCATCGCTATTGCCTTCTTTTGGGGTGTCCACCATGTATATGTCATATGACGAGGTGGCTTTCCAGTGCCCTATAGGCGCTGGTTCCTGTTCGTCTCCTACATCGTCGTCCACACCGTCGATGTCTTCGGAGTCGAAGTCGAGCATGTCGGTTAAATCATCGACAGTGGCTACGAAGTGGGTGGTGGGTGGGTTTTAAATTTCTTCGTCATCCGCATCCCAACCTTGTTGACCATAGTCCGGCCAGGACTCCCCTGATAAAGAGAGAGACTTTAGTGAGTTCAGAATGTCGCCAAAGGGCGAGTGCTGAAAAATGTCCGCGACGGTGAACTCCATGATCGGCGCCCAATTGGATTCGACTGGCAGGGGCGCGGAGGGTTTGGAGTCTGGAGAAGAGTCCGGCACCTTGGAGCCACGGGCTTCACAGAGAATAGGGATGGTGTTCGGCTCGATCACCGTAGAGATTGCAGCCCCCGAGGTGGTGTCCAACCACCCGTCCTCGATTGGCGCAGTCGGCTCCGAGCTAAGGGTCGGAGCGGACATGGGTGCGGCCTCCAAGGCACTGTCCGGCAACAGAGCTAGATCATGCCCTTCGCGACAGTGCGGCGCGCCCGGCTGTGGCTCGAATCCGTCGAAGATCAAGTCTCCGCGGATATCAGCCGTGTAGTTCAAGCTTCCAAATCTGACCTGATGGCCAGGGGCGTAGCTTTCGATCTGCTCCAGATGGCCAAGCAAATTGGCCTGCAGTGCAAAGCCGCCAAATACAAAGATCTGTCCGGGGAGAAAAGTCTCATCCTGGACCGCATCGCTGTTGATGATCGGAGGAGCCATCGGGCCTAAACGCAACGACACAGAGGAACTCTCAATGAAAGCACCAATGTCGGTGTCAAAACCGGCGGATCTCGGGTAGGGGGTCCCGAACTGTGCGTCTAGGCGGATGGTAACAGGAGACAAGGGACACGATGTTTTTACCCAAGTTCGGGCCCTCTCGATGGAGGTAAAACCCTACTCCTGCTTGATTAATATTGATGATATGGGTAGTACAAAAGTAGATCTACCACGAGATCAGAGAGGCTAAACCCTAGAAGCTAGCCTATGGTATGATTGTTGTTCGTCCTACGGACTAAAACCCTCCAGTTTATATAGACACCGGAGAGGGTTAGGGTTACACAGAGTCGGTTACAATAGTAGGAGATCTACATATCCGTATCGCCAAGCTTGCCTTCCACGCCAAGGAAAGTCCTATCCGGACACGGGACGAAGTCTTCAATCTTGTATCTTCATAGTCCAGGAGTCCGGCCAAAGGTCATAGTCCGGCTATTCAAACACCCCCTAATCCAGGACTCCCTCAGGCGCAGCAGTGCGAGGGGGAGCAACAGGGCCCAACGGCGCAAGGGGGAGCGGAATGGCACGACGACGCGAGGGGGAGAGGAGGGGCGGCGGGAGAAGGTTCCGGCTGGCACGGAGAAGGCGGGGCGCCTAGTGTAGCTGTTGTCCGCTCTGTCCGCTGTTATGTTCTCGCGTCGGGTGTACACCGTGTCCGTCCCATGTCCGCTTGGCGGACAGGAGACCCAAACGGACAAAAAGCAGACAAAATTCGTGTGTGTTTGGGTCCTGCCTTGGAGTTGCTCTAACTTCGGATCAACGCCCCAGCAACGCGCCCCGCCCTCATCCCCCGCGGAGCTCGTCCGGTACCTGTGACAACTCCCAACTCCAGTCTGATGCGGTTCCAAATTCTACCCTCTAGCAGCCCTAGAGCTGCCGCCGTGACTTAGCTTCGGATCAACGCCCCAACAACGCCCCCCGCCCTCTCCCTACGGCACAATCCCTCCTCGTGCGGCGTCGCCGAACATCGCCGCCGTTCCCGTTTCCTTGCTGTCCTGTCCGTTCTTGGACTTTGATTTGTTTACGAGGTATGAGATTTTCGCCATCCAGTGATTACCCAAATCGACAGTACCTCCACAAATTTCGAGTGCACCGGTGCAGACCCGTCATCATGCCATCTAGATCCGCCCCTTAGATGTAGAGTGCTACATAAGAGAGGACGGAGGGGCGCAATTGATTCTGTTTCTTACGGATCCGAGTCTAGTTCCAACAAGGATTCTAGTAGTATATTTAGATTGGTTCGCAGGGAAAGGCCCGACCTTTTTGTCTTTGCATCGGCGGAGACCAGGAGCGATGGCGAGCGCAGGACTGAAGCGTAAAGCTTGCTCCTTTGCCGCTCTCACCGCCCGCAAGCGCCCAGAGGCCGCCGGGGAGCCTTCCCAGGCGACCGACTGGTCCTCCCTCCCTCCGGACATCACCCGCATCATCGCCGAGCAACTGCTGGCGGAGGACGTGACGGATTACATGTGCTTCCGCGCTGTGTGCTCGCACTGGCGTGCCTTCACCACCAGCCCCTGCGATCTCACGCTGCAGGAAACCCGCTTCCGTCCTCGCGGCTGGGTCGCCCTCTGTGACGGCGATGGCGTACGCCCAGCTGATGCCTGCGAGATCACCCTCTTCCACACGTCCACCAGCAGGCGCCTCCATGTCCGTCTGTCCGAGCTCCAGAACCACCGGATCGTCGGCTTCACTGATGGCCTCCTCATCCTGCTCAACAAGGGCACCACCGCTGTCCGTGTCCTGCATCCATTCACCCGTGTCTTCATTGACCTCCCTCCCCTTGCGCCCATCTTCCACCATTTGGTTTGGATGAAAGCCGCAGTCTGCCGGTCCCATGCCTCGATTGCTGTCGTTGCCTGGTTCTCGGTTGTGCCAGTGGTGGTCTACGCTGAACCTGGGAAGCCACATTGGTCTGTCATACACCAAGGTCTTGAGCTTTGGACTGCCTTACCATTCCGAGGCAGACTGTTTGGCATCAGAAAGGGGACAGGGGAGATTGTGCAGGTGTACCCTCTATTCCCACAGCACCCAGTGGTTGCTCGTATTCCCAGCTTGTTTGGTTGCCCTGCATTTTGTTACTACTACCTTGTGGAATTCAGAGAATACATGCTCCTTGCTGTCCAGCATCGTCGTGTTAGCCAGAGCAAGAAGGGGTGGCAGCCATTCGCCTTTGCCCTCTTCCTGGTGAATATAAACCAAAGAGGACTGGTTCTGTTGAGTAGCCTAGGTGACCGGGCGCTCTTCCTTAGCAAAGACCGATGCCTATGTGTCTCCGCCACGAAACTCCCTTCTATCAGCAGCAATTCCATCTACTTCTCGCTGCCCAACTTCGACCCTGGTGTAGTGTATTCTCTAAGCAGCGGGACATTCGAGCGGACATCAACGTATGCCCTCATACATGACCTGAAGGAGAGGGTTCGGCCCTCTGTGCGGCCCTTCACCCTGGCCGATCATCTGACGACATATTGCCACCATTTTGAGTGGTAGGTTCCTTCCATATGTGGTTTCTTTCCACCACGCTGACAGCGGCATGTGCCACTTGTATTGTTCTAATAGCCTTAACCACATGTTTGCTTTCTTCCTGCAGGTCAAAGGGACTTATGTTTCATGAGTACTATGTTATACCTTCGTCTTGGAAGGAAATGTTGAGAAAAATTACGTTACAGGACTGTGAAATTCAAGTTTCATGTGTGTGTGAAGAGAACGAAGTGGGAAGTTTGACGTCAAAGAAAAAGAACCTGGGAATAACAGGTACATATTACTTAGTCTGTTGCTCATTTAAATATCTGCCCATGCCCTTATCTTTCTATTGTTATTCCTTCCACGCCGGTTTGCTGAAAATTAGATAGTTTGCTGGCTCTATGGGATCAACTCACAAATATCAGTACATTATTGATGCCCTCCCATAAATCTAAATAATAATAATCCGTGCTGTTTCTGCACATACTTGTTGATCAACTAAACACCAGGGACATGATGGAAAGGCGGGCACTGGCACATTGAGTCCAGAGTTAACTGTGTTTTGTGCTCTTCAGCCACTAGGGAAGGCAGGGCACATTTGTTTTTCAATTGTGCTTTTGCCAGGGCTTGTTGGAGCGACCTCAATATCTATTTAGCTGCTCATTTGAATTTTTTGGCGACGATCAGGCTTGCTAGGTCTCAGTTTCAGAAGCCTTGGTTTGTTGAAGTCATTAGTGCTGCTCTTTGGAACATCTGGGACAGAGGAATGGATTTTAGAAGGGCAGCCGCCTTCTTTAACTTAGTGGAAAGTTCTTTTCAAGAAGGACCTCCACCTCATTTCCTTCAGGGTGAAAGATAAGAACAGAGACCCTTTTTTGGCTTGGTTGAGAACTTTTCAATTTGGAGAGGGCTTTGTAAGTTTAGCCTTTTGTTTGTTTTCCTTTCTCTTTGGCTTCTCTAACATGTAAACATTTAGGATACCTACCCTCAACCCCCCTTGTATATCCTAGCTGCTGATAATATAATACTCCCTCCGTCCCATAATGTAAGACGTTTTTTGACACTACACTAGAGCCAAAAAACGTCTTACATTATGGGACGGAGGGAGTAGAAAATATACCATAGGGGCTTCCCCTACGGTTTCATAGGTAAAAAAAAACATTACATAGATCGTGCACTGGGATGGAACCACAGGGAAGCTGTCCTACGCCTTGTCGACCCCCCACTTCACCAGTCGTTGCAGAACATGCCAGAATTTGAATATTAGCTATCATAACCATTGCTGCCCTCCTCCACTTAGCGGAGAGAAGAGCCTTGCACTGCATGATGAGCGACACTGCCTTGTGAAGCACCTGTTCATGATTGTTGATTAAGTGCACTATCTTAGTACTCCACAAGACCAAGTAATTGCCGCAAAATAAATAGATGTTTCTTTTGTATGAAGTTTTTATTTTATTTTTTGCATGCACACTATGCTTTGTGTAAGAGCTGCTTAATGTTCTGGCTAAAGAGTGCTACTTGAGGTTTTCTCTTTTGGTATTTACCATGTAAAGTATCGAATGTTTAGAATCACACTAGAGAATAATACTCTTGCATGTTTCTATTTATTTCAGGACGCACACTTGCCTTACACTGGAAATCGTCTCATTCTGGAGCATCTCCAGAATTGATATTACTAGAGCAGATTTCGTCCTAGGATGGAAGATGGGAGACTAGAACCCTGGGGGACCTGTCACACTAGCCATTTCCCCTAGAAGAGCTCCCCAAAATAAGGTCGCTGTGGTGACTGAGCTTAGGGATCTGTAATAATATCGTTAAGCCGGTGTTCTATTATGGCTTTGTTCTGCTGACTTTGATGTGGTTGTTCTATCATGCTAGTGAGTAGGGCTAGAACTCAACCTTCGTGTCTGGATTAAGACTAATATGTTTTGAGCTTAGTGAAACCGCCCTCGACTGTTCTAGTTCAGATCAGCACTTTCGGACATCCCTTTTTGAGTTGAAATAGAACTAACCAAGAAGGCTTACCCTCAACAGAAACCAAAACGTGCCCCTTCGTGTCTGGATCAAGACTAAATATGTTTTGAGCTTCTCTTTTAGCAACAGTTTATTTTTACTGCATGTGCGTTCGGAAATTCATTTTGGCACATGGGAGCATATGCACTTTTAACTAATACGCATATAGTCACAAGTATGTTACATATCGCTCTCCAACGTCCGGCTATACAGCATTTCTCCGATCTGCAGCACCTGAAAATCGCTCGCTACGGACGGCCTTTCCAGCGTTGTATCGAGTGCGTCTGTAGAAAATGGCAGCTGCCCTTTTGTATAGAGTGGGGTCGGCCGGAGGTGGATGGGATTTAACTTAGTAGACTAATTAACATATTTCCTAATTTTAGGGAGTACTCCCTCTGTAAACTTATATAGAAGCATTTAGATTACTAAAATAGTGACCTAAACGCTCTTATATTAGTTTACGGAGGGAATAGTATGAAAGGACGGTCTATTGCATGGGGTGTTTTTACCGCTGTCTACAGATGACGTGGAGGATCGTTGTGGACAACAGGCGTCTAAACTGACGTAGCGCTGACGCTAGGACCGTCGCCGCGAGCCATGTATAGAGCCATGTACACATTGACCATCACAGTGGTCACGCCCATTCTCCATCTCCATCGCACCGGTTCTAGGCTTCTAGCCTTCTAGGTGACCACCCCACGGCAGCGTGCGCGCCCACACAGTGCGCAGGGCTCATTCCCGATGCCGACGCGTGTCGCCAAGGGACAAAACTAACCACGCCACACAATTCTTTCGTCGGGCGTAAACACGAATACATGATGCATCAAAATGCCTTGCACTCGTCCCCGGGTCAGATCCTACCTCCGCTTGGCCAGATCTGACGCCTGACCAAGGACGGAGAGGAAACACGACGGCTCCCATCACAAAGCGGCAAAAGATACGTGAACAGAAAAATGACCAAAAAACTTCTTGCCGCGTGAAGCAGGTCGGACCAGTCGCCAGAACAAAACAACATAACCATCGTAGTATCCAAGCCTCCAGCGACATTGTTACCAAAACGGTATGTCACCATCATCCTCTAGAACCTCAGTGGCCGATCAAATAACCACACGATGCAGATGCACCCACTGTTTCAGTAAAGGACTTCCGTGAGTTGGATCAATTAACTACCCATGCACATGATGCTTTTGACAGGACTTCGGTGAGCTGAGACGGGTCATCCGAATGCTTCAAGAACCTTGAGGAGGAAGCCGGTGCACAAGAGCCTGTATGAATTTTCTTACTGTTAGAACATGCTTCACATTTCGCAGTTCAGCAACATGTGCACTAAATGTCTTTTCTTATTCAACCTTTTTATGCTCAATCCTAAATTTCAGAAGCATGTTCTAATGATACGGATACAGATATAGATGTACGTACAGCAAGACTCATCTGGATGTCCGTTAGACTCTGCTTCATTGATGTTAGATCAGTCTTGACGTCCGTAAGCCCGCTTTTCAGACAGGTTACATCGCCCGCAACAGCATTCTGAAGATACAAGAGTAATACACAGATCAGCAAGACATTGGCTAAAGCAATTTCCCATGTAAACACCAAACATTGATTAAAACAATTTGTGATGCCTCTCCAAACTTACCAGTTGACCTGTCATCTCACTCACTGCTTTCACAACATTAGAAAGTTCTTCTTTCATGGTATCCTATTCTCAGAAATAGCAAAGTTCAAGTATCAATAAGGTATAACAGTAACAGGAATGATACATCTAAATTAGCTTCATTAATATCTATGGAGGTATAGATATTCATATTCAGACAATAAATGTACTAATACATGTTTATACCTTTTGCTTAGGGTTTGCTGTCATCCATTGAATCAAACTAAAAGTATCATCATTTGCCAGGTGAACACGCCTGCGGTTCCAAAGATCGCCCATAATCTCGTAACGGTCCATAAAGATCTCTCCTGCTATCTATGGCGAAATGCAACGTATTCTCAGTCAAGCACAGTATTTATCCTTGGAAATATAAACCACGGTAGTACACAAAACACAATATACCTTCCATTTTGCAGCAGGTTTCTCTATCGTGACAGTCCTCGTAGTTTCTTGAAGAGAATGCTTATAGCCCGGACCTTGGCGGAGGAACTCTCCATAATTAGCTGATCTCACCAGAGCAACACCACCATTCCTCCGGTTGTCATACTCATGAACATTCTCAGCAACAAACGTATTAGCATTTGATAGGATTGCGAATGCCTCAGGCTTCGAAAGCCAACTTGGTGGGCTATTATCAACTTTGTCCCGCAATTGGCCAGCAGTTTTAATGTGGTGAGTCGTGAAGTTGTGCAATTCAGTAGTTGCTACAAGGAAAAAAACAAAACAAAACATATGTATAGGAGAGGCTGAGCAGGAAGACTAAATAATTAAGCAAACAGCTGTAAACAGCCAACCTTGAAAATTGTAGGCAATATCATCTTAACATCAAGTGCTTCATTCTGTAGCCCCAGTAGCTCCTGCACAGTACATAAATTCTAATTAAATTGAAATGCCTTAAAGCACTAATGAAACTCAGACAGTCTAGCATATATACAACGTAATGCAGAAACACATGCACCACGATCAGATAATACATATTACCATGCTTGCAGCTTAGAGTGTGCCAAAAAAATGCTTGCAGCTAAGAGATCACAAGAAAGTACTGAAATGTTTTCACAAACAGGTTATGCATCATTAAGTAAACTACTGATAACTCACAACAGATATGTCACATCAAATAAAGTCAAGTGCACAAAATATAAAACAACAGTACTCACATGTCAAGAGCAATAAATATCAAAAACTCAATTATGTTTCACGGGCTGTGAAGCCTGTACCAGTTTACTTCCAGTATTAGAAAGAACTTGATGCTCGCTGCACTGATAAGTTTAGATGGCAAAGAACCACTAGCAAAGAACCGTCACATGGATTGATAAGGTGACATGCACAACCTACTAATTTTCTTTTGTGTAATCACCACACACTAAATTAATCTGTGAAGATAAATCCTGATAATATGAGGTGAAGGGTAAATATTTCTTACATCAATGGTGAAGAACACATCAGTGGATGGATCAACGTTGGCAAACCTGCATCAGGAAACCATGCAAAATGATTCTTAGTGTTCAATAGAGATAATGCCTGCATCAGGAAACCATGTTATTCACACATAACAAGTTTCAAATATAATAACGATATAAAAGGGGCAAAATATTATGGGGATACGAAGTTTTTAGTTATCATTAAGAAGTGGTATCCCCTGTTCTATTCAAACTGAATGAAACCCTAGACAGGTTGTACATAGAGAAAAGATATATGGAAGTGCATTAAAGCTGTCCTAAC